GCGGGTAGGGTGATGGGTATGGGGGGGCTGTCGGGTAAAATGGTAGGGTTGGGGCTGGGTAGGTTGTTTGGCCGTAGGGTTGGGGTGGGGGGTTAGGGTTAGGGTTGTAGGTGTAGTAGGCATGGGCTTTGGGATGGTTAGGGTTGGATGGGCGCGGGCCGAGGAGACCCGAGCCGGGGTTGGGTTGCGGTGAGTTGTTCCAAGGTACGTAGCCGTCATGCGGGTGTCGTTGCGAGCCAGAGTTTCGTCCACGTCTGCGTCCACGGCCGCCTCCACCACGACCGTAGCTGCGCCCCTGCTGTCCGCGGCCACCACTGCCGCCGCTGTGCCCGCTGCCAGGCGCTCCACTGCCACGCCCAAAGTCGCCGCTGCCAATGCCGTAAGGAGGGCCGCCGGTTCTGCCAGCCAGGAGGGCTGTCCCGGCGTCATCCGCGATGCTTTGTCATTGTCGATCTAGAAGCAGGAGGGCGGATCGGGTCTGAAGAAAGTTGGGCAGCGGTTGTTGGAATTGTAGGAACGACGTCTGAGCGTGGAGATCTTCGGGTAGCCCCCGAAGCATTTGGAGCACGAGTTGAGCCTCAGAGACCGGGGCGTCGACATCATCCAACCAATCAGCTATGTTCCGTAGGGTTTGACAATACGTGGCCATAGTCATCGTACCCTTGACAGTGGTTCGAAACTGATGCTCGAGTTGCATAGCCCGAGCATGCTTGTTGTCATGAAAAAGTGCATGGATAACCTGCCATAATTCCGCTGCGGTGGAGGTGGTGGAGATGACCATATCTGAAACTTCGTCAAAAATAGTGGAGAGAATCCACCCTTGGATCAGGGCGTCGAGTTGGTACCATTCATCATCATCGGCGTCGGAGGGAGATGAAGAACCCGAGAGGAAGCCGTGGAGAGTAAACCGGTGCACCAAGAGAAGAAAAAGCCGGCTCCACTTCTTGTAATTAGGCTGAGAGAAGCTCAGCTGGATCGGGACATGAAGCTTGACGTTGGAGATTGTGGTGAAAGCAAGATGAGGGGGATTAGAGGAGGAGGAGGAGGAGGCTGAATTTTCAGAATTTTTGTCGGAGGAAGCCATTTGTGGGGGAGGAGGAGAGGGTGTTGCCGACGTGGGCAGTCCGCCGAGAGAGAGAGTAGGGCGGCGGCGGCTGTGCTGCTGGAGGAGGGCACGCCGAGAGAGAGAGGTAGGTTTAGGGTTTTTGATTTGAGAATTATGGCTCTGATACCATGAAGAATTATGATTTTCCTTAAACAATAAAGTGGGTTACATGGGTTTATATATATAGTCTTTTCCTAATCCTAATCATGGTAGGACTCTACAATAGGAAACAATATTTGTACAATTAATATAGTATATATTATTAACATAAATATAAAATATATTTAACACTAAATTGCCAAGTGACTTACTTAATTCTTTAAAGTAGTGAAAGAATCTTTAAATATAAGATTTAATTTGGTGTATGACTCTTTTATCTTTTATTTTGGTGCTATATATGTTATCTAGAATTGGAAGATTGATGTGTATTATAAACTCGAATGAGTAAGTATCTAATACAATATTACCATGGAATTGGAAACGAGAAAATTAAACATATTTTGGCTATATTTTTGTTGATTTGTACTGTGCATTCATTGCTAATTCCTCAGATGGTGATGTAAAATAATCTTCGGCTAGGTTCCAGAGCCACTCAAAAAGAGTGGCTGCGGAAGCCACTCACCCAATTGGGACACCTACGGTGCTCTATTCGCAAAATTGATAGTTCTTACCCCCTCTAACCCCCCGGTAAATCCTCCCACCCAGTCCCGATTCCAACTCACTCCTCTAACCACGTCAATTGCGGGTGCAAGTTTAGTTGACATTGGAGTCAAAATTTTTGACTGTAAAGTCAATTATACTTACGGGACTTGGTAGGGGTTTTACTGGGGGTTAGGAGGGGTAGGAATCATCAATTTTATGAACGGAACTCTATGGGGGGCAGTAGCTTCCGTGGCCACTGAAACCAGTGGCCACCGAACCGGGCCGAATAATCTTTATATACTTTTTAAGTGAGTATAATAATTATGGAACATTATATTCCATGACATACAAGAATATAATGACAACTATTGAATAACCATTACTTCTTTATAGCCAGTAATATAATTACTCTTCACTATAATTTCCCTAACCTTGGATGCCCGAATACAATATGGATGCTCCAATAAGTTATTGTGGATTTGATGGTTATATTACCCATTATAGACTGTTTTGTCACATATATAAATCATTGAGTTTGTATGCCAATGATCAGACTCAGTAAACTTTTTTGTAGTAGTTGACTTCATTATACTAATTCATAAAATGATTTATTTAAAATAGGTTATTTTGTCGTATAGTCGGTATAGACTTAGCATATACCTCAAAGTACTTTATAACTTTCACTCCATAATTGCATTTGGTAATGGTCCTTTGAACAGATTGCGATGCCATCGTTCGAAGAAGTTTGGCACATAATTTTCACAGATTGATAAAGGAACATTCATTGTACGTGTTTTCCTATTTTAACATTGTCAATAGCTCAATACTAATGCTTTTATCACACACTAAACTTCCAACCAAAAACAACCGTCAATATATGTAGCCACAAATCTCCTGTGCATGGCTTTAGGATGATTTTACCCTCTTTACTTAGTTGGTAATGTCTCCCTTTTTCAAAATAAACTAGCATTTTGACCCGTGCGATGCACGAGTCGATCAAAAAATTTATCGATTCGAGATTTCTTTTCTATTTTTCTAAGGCTGTGTTCTTTTGAATTATGATTTTTTCTAGAAAATTTCAATAATAATTTCTTGTGTTTGGTTATATGAGTGGGAGAAATTTATTTTAGACGAAGGTTCATTACTTCATTTTCATAATAATTCCTCGAGTGACCTGATTTCACGAAAAAATGAAATATTTTCTCCATTTCGCACTCACTCCTTCCACTATCCCCCACCCCCAAATCTTAGAGAAATATACATGTTTAAAATGAAAATTTGGTACGGTCACATATAAAAACTCAAATTATATTTGCTTTCGAATACTTCCTTCGTTGACTACAGCTCCTCTTCTTTCATTTTTTTCACTTTCCCTAAAATACTTTCTTTTTTTATTAAAAGGGTTAATATATCAAAATAAAATCATTGCAATATATACTTCATATGTTTTGCATTAATATAATAATTTATTTAATTAATTTGTCTCTTTTTTCCGATGATGGCGATTTAATTCGAAAGTCAAATTACAAAAATAAATCTTGCAAAAGTCGAGACATGAACTGTTTTGAAGAACAAATGGAGTATATATTAAACTTGGCTAAACTCCACCATTGGTCCTTCAACTTTATAAATTATACATGATTGGTCCTTCAAGTTTTAAAAGTCCATAAATAGTCCTTCAACTTTATGAGTTAAGCACGATTGATCCTTCAAGTTTTAAAAGTGCATAAGCAGTCCTTCAAATACACGCCATCCCTCCATATGAGGTCCTTTTGACAATAAATGTTAAAAGCTAAATGGAATACTAGCTCCATATAATATGAAGTAGTCGTACCTAGTGGAATTTACTCGTATTATATGAAACTAGTATTGCGTTTAACTTTTAATATTTACTGTCAGAAGGACTTCATCTGGAGGGCTGACATGTACTTGAAGGACTATTTATGGACTTTTGAAACTTGAAGGACCAATGGTGCAGAACTCATAAAGTTGAAGGACTATTTATGGGCTTTTGAAACTTGAAGGACCAATCGTGCACAACTGATAAAGTTGAAGGACCAATGGTGGATTTTAGCCTATTAAACTTATTCCAAAACATTGTTTTACACTAAAACTCAACACTAGTAATTTACAAAAAGAAAATCTTTCCTAAAAATACAGAGTAATAGAAAATGGTTTTTGAAAAAAGAAATATATTCTAATGAAATAGTGTAAAATGTGGGTTGGGGGGGGTCGAGGGGGGATAATTTTTCGGGTAAACCATTTCGCCTAATGCACGGTTAATTAGAAATATTTTCTAACTTTTCTATTCTTTTCTAACTTTTCATAGTTTTTCAAACTTCTAGTTTTTTTCTTCTAAAATTTCTAACTCTTTCAATTTCCTTCTAGCTCATTTAAGTTTCTTCAAGGTTCTTTTAATTCCTTTCAACACTAATTTAAAAATTACGTACATGCTTTTGTTATATTTTTCTTATTATAACTATTGTTATTGTTGAAGATTTTCAATAGAAATAAAGACCTCAAAAAAGTGTTACTAAAAAAAGATGATGAAAATATATATTTTTACAAATTACTCCATTTATTTTCTATATAAAAAAATTTTTATTTCTTTTTTAAGAAAATATATCTTCTTTTAGACTAATACCATCGGTACCCTGATGTGATATATAATGTTTTTATTCATATTCTTAATTATATCTTTGAGGATATTGTAGTTATTAGGAAAAAAAATAGATTACACTAAGAGCCTGTTTGGGAATAGCATTAGCGTTTTGAAAAGACTATCTACGGGCAGCGTTTAGCGTTAGCATTTTCAAAGTAATATACACCGTTAAAATTTTATCCAAAACGTTAATGCTAATCTCTAAAACTATTCCCAAACAGACCCTAAACCATAAAGTATTTGTTACAGAGTATTAAAATTTCTTTATAAAATATTGAGACCCTCAATGTATTAATTTTATTCACAATAAAATTTCTACTTAAATTAATTAGGTGATACACATTCTTTATTTTATTATAGAAATCTATATTTATTTAAAATTTCTCTTTAAAGAAAACAATGGACATCAAGATGTGTATGATTCAAAATAAATTTATCAATGTATACAGAATATAATTTTGATATTACTTACATAAATTTGATTACATTTTATAAATGATGAAATACATTAAACTACATCATGAAATACTTCGTTAGTTATTAATCACCATATACTTTTACTATTAGGAAAATATATTTAGGGATCCACGCCGCAAGAAAAATCTTATTTACGAAAAGAATGCTTCCTGGCATGTTTAAGCTCATGAAGTTACATAGAATAAATTAAAATTTCTTTGAGAAGAACATGAGATTGTTCGAAGTAACCATATGTGAGATTATATTAAGACTCGTGAAGAGCTTATTTTACATCATCAGCTTCTTCCTTTCGGATGAAGTCTTCTTCGATTGTAAAACTGAAAATGCATTGGCTTCTTGTAAGGATCATCAGGTAGTATTGATCGTATCAAAAATAATTTAAAGTAACATTGCTTAGATAATAAAGTTGTATCCTACACTTTTAGTATCTCTAAATAACAACAAACATCAAATAAAAGATAAAGATTACACTCAAGTAATTTTCTGAGTAGATTCCTTCTAAAGAATCTTTTCCTTTACCTTTTTTCTTGGCTTGGGATTTTGTACCCATGATTCCATCACATAAGGCTTGGTTGTTGTGGATTCCACCACCCCACTTCTTAAGATTTGCTTCAAGCTTATCGTTGAACTTTTCCTGAAAATAGAAGTTGGTGGTCCCAAAGTGGTGAAATACAAAGTCTAGAGGGGGGGTGAATAGACTTTGTTACAGATTTAAAATCTTTTTCGTTTCTTTTGAAAACGTGAAAATAAGTGTTAATCTAGGGTTCTTGTGAACTTTAGATTGTGTGCGGAATTTGGTGGGTAGAGTGAGCAGTAATCAATATGGATGGGTTAGTTTTCACAGTTAATATAATTGCAAGTAAGAGTAAAGATAAAAGAGAGAGACACGCAAACTTTAACGAGGTTCGAAGGTGGGGTAATCCTTCTACGTCCTCAAAATCCACTATGTAGTTGGTTGTTGAATAATGAACCAACAATTACACTTGTGTGAATTTCTGCACGGTATATCTTCGCAAG